CACGAACCTCCAGCGGGACTATTATCGCCTCTGTCTTAGGAGCCTTCGGATTCCGTTTCGGAGGAGGGGAAGGCGAGCAGAATGAGGGCAGTCAGAGACCAAGATAGGGGTCCATGCTTGATGACGTTTATTCCCCATGCCACCATACGTACGGAAATCGGACAAGGTGGTCGTGTTGTAGCCGGTGCAATGCACGAAGTCGTTGCCGGAGTTGGAGACCACGGATAAGCATTGGTAATGATGGGCCTGGAAATCTCAGCCAGAGTCGGAAGATGGAATGCGGGAGTCGGAAGTGTAACCGAACTCGGGATCCGAGCGTCAGCTCGGCTCTATGTTGGGAGCCATCGTGGAGCCTTACCCTACTAGGTTTGCCCTCCGAAATTCTGGCAGACCCCCCACACGAGCATCCAGTGAGACGTTCATCGCATCTGTCTTGGGAGCCTTCATGGGACCTCTTGTCAGACTTCGTCTCGGAAGAGGGCAGGGCGGGCAGAGGAATGAGGGCGGTCAGAAACCAAGATAGGAATCCATGTTTGATGATATGAATTCCCCGTACCGCCCTACGCACCGAAGTTGGACAAACTGGTCGCGGTGTAGCCGTCGTTATACTCGAAAGCGATGCCGGAATTAAGGGCAACGGATAAGTGGTCGGAGCCGGAGTTGGAGGGGGGACGGTTGCGTTGGTAGCCAGAGTCGGAAGATCGAATGCAAGAGTCGGAAGTGTAATCGGGTTGAGGATCGAAACGCCAATGTTGAGGCTTATTGCGGTATGTTTTGGGAGCCATCATGGGGCCTTCTGCTAATACATTTGCCCTGTTGGTGACAAACAAAACAATATCCGAAACGGAATTCCTACGCCGATTGGTTGGATTACCACCCACGGCCCCGACGCTCCATTCGCCGCGTGGGCTGGCAAAGGGAGGCGCTGGGCATTTGCCCATTGGTTTTCAACCGTATTGACCACCGACGCTAACGTCAGCGCCGACGCCACTGCCAATGATCAATGGATACATGGTGCGCCGTGGCTCTGCGACCAATGGTGGTATTATAACGGTGGACATTCAACCTGTGGGCGCGATCTGCGGCAAGACAAATACGGCGATAGTATCAACACTTACGACGGTGAACATCGAATTGGTACCCGAATTGGTACCGATGGCATCGCTGGTTATCCACCAATCCCACGTTATCCGGCATCGATTTGGGATACTCCTACAGCTACAACACGACCACCTTTGACTTCGATGTCTATGGCGGTACGGGGTATAAATATTCAAGCATTGACCCCCATCTTGGTTCCTTCCCGCCTTCATTCCTCCGCCCGCCCTTTCTGCCCCCGAGACGAAGTCCGTCCATCAGAGGTCCCACGAATGCTCTGTTGCCGAGGAGCGACGCAGACATCAATGGGCACCCAGTAGACTTCCTGGCAAGGCTCCGAGGGGCATACTGACAGCAGTGGCTGCGAAGGAGTGATCCGGACAATGGTCGACGACGACCCCGTGCCAGGCTGGTGCGGACCCTCCCAGCCCCCGGGGCGGTGCGCGGATCGCCCGCGAGGACATGGTATGGTTCGCGGCGATGCAGGTGCTGGGCTTTGGCAAGGTGCCGACCAGCGCGCCCCCCCGCTTCTGGCACCACCTGAGGCTGGGCCCCGGGTGGGCGGGTTCCTGCGCAAGTGGTTCATCCTTTGGCTGGTCACCGCGGATCCCCCGGCAGGTCCGGCCTTTCTGCTTCGCTTTACGCTTGCGACTGTGCCCCCGACCCTCCGTGTCGGATAAGTTGCTCGCGGTGAACGCCGGCGACGTCGACGACAGGGCCCCTGACTGCGGTCGTCGCCTTCGCGTTCAAGCTCCTGCACAAGTGGTTCATCCTTTGGCAGATTATCGCGGTCCTCCCTGCAGGCTGGGCCAGTTGACTCGACCAGTGCTTGCAGCTTCACGCCCCCGATCCTCAGTGTCGGACAAGGTTCAGATCCCCAGGAATCCTTAGGGAATGCTAGGGATCTGGCTCCGATCCGTAGGAATGCCTAGGGAATGTTCGGGATCTGGCTCAGATCCGTAGGAATGCCTAGGGTATGTTAGAGATCTGGTTTGATCCGTATCGAGATTTTGTCAGGGAGCCCTGGGAACCCTTGGACAAATTGTAAGGATCTGGTTCGAATTTTACCTAACAGCGAAGACTGATAGGTTTCTAGTAGTGTCTAAAAAGAGCTCACAGATCACTCCACAGGGGGGTCCGGGCAGGTGTTGGGAGTTGCCGGGCGGGCCTGTGCCGAGCTCGTTTTTCACCAACAGTCACACACTTCGTGCTCTTCGAGTTCCCAGAACTCCATTCCCAGGCTCATTCTGAATAACCGGATGCAACAGTCACACACTTCGTGCTCTTCGAGATCCCAGAACGCCATTCCCGGGCCACCTTTAGAATAACCGGATGCAACAGTCACACACTTCGTGCTCTTCGAGTTCCCAGAACGCCATTCCCGGGCCACATTCTGGAGGGCCGGAGCCAACAGTCACACACTTCGTGCTCTTCGAGTTCCCAGAACTCCATTCCCGGGCCACCCGGATTCCACTTCCGAGTTCCCAGAACTCCATTCCCGGGCCACATTTTGATGCCCGGAGCCAACTGTAGGCCACTTCGTGAAGAGTCCCGGAGCCAACTGTAGGCCACTTCGTGCTCTTCGAGTTCCCAGAACTCCATTCCCGGGCCACATTTTGAATGCCCGTAGCCAACTGTAGGCAACTTCGTGCTCTTCGACTTCCCAGAACTCCCATTCCTGGGCCACATTTTCAGCAGGGGCAAGAGCACGACGAGGAGGAGGACGAGCAAGACCAGGAGGACGAGGACGAGCAGGAGCAGGACGAGGAGCAGGAGGAGCAGGAGAAGAAGGACGAGCAGGAGGAGGAGGAGGACGAGCAGGAGGAGGAGGACGACCAGGAGGAGGAGGACGACCAGGAAGAGGAGGAGGAGGAGGAGGGGAGGGGGAGGAGTACCAGGAGGAGGAGGAGGAGGAGGAGGAGGAGGAGGAGGAGGAGGAGGAGGAGGAGGAGGAGGAGGAGGAGGAGGACGAGGACGAGGAGGAGGAGGAGGAGGAGGGGGGGGGAGAGTACCAGGAGGAGGAGAACGAGGACCACCAGGAGGAGGAGGAGGAGGAGGAGGAGGAGGAGGAGGAGGAGGAGAGAACACCAGGAGGAGGAGGACGAGCAAGACGAGGAGGACGAGAACGAGGACGACCAGGAAGAGGAGGAGGAGGAGGAGGAGGAGGAGGGGGAGGACTACCAGGAGGAGGAGGAGGAGGAGGAGGAGGAGGAGGAGGAGGAGGAGGAGGACGAGGAGGAGGAGGAGGAGGACGAGGAGGAGGAGGGGGGGGGAGAGCACCAGGAGGAGGAGAACGAGGACCACCAGGAGGAGGAGGAGGAGGAGGAGGAGGAGGAGGAGGAGGAGGAGGAGAGAGCACCAGGAGGAGGAGGACGAGCAAGACGAGGAGGACGAGAACGAGGACGAGCAGGAGGAAGAGGAGGAGGAGGAGGAGGAGGAGGAGGAGGAGGAGGAGCAGGAGAAAGAGGAGGAGGAGGAGGCAGGCTGAGGCTGAGGCTGTGACTGCGACTGCCGTTGCCGCTGCGACTGTCATCGCGAATGCGACTACGACTGCGAGAACAGCAGAATTCGACAACTGGATTTCCATCTGAATCTTAAAAGGAATGCTTTCAGATATGCTTCTACACATCGCTGTTGGGTTGCTTTGCCGGGATAATTCACCAAACAGCGAAGACTGATAGGTTTCTAATAGGCTAAAAAAAAAACAGCACATTACTCCACAGAGGGGGTCTGGGCAGCCGTTGGGGACGAGTTGGGGTTTGCCGGCGGGGATCGTTTTTCGCATACTGTCACACACTTCGTGCTCTTCGACCTCCCAGAACTCCATTCCCCGGCCACATTCTGAATGCCCGGAACCAACTGTAAGCCACTTCGTGCTCTTCGACTTCCCAGAACTCCATTCCCGGGCCACATTTTGAATGCCCGGAGCCAACTGTAAGCCACTTCGTGGTCTTCGAGTCCCCAGAACTCCATTCCCGGGCCACATTTTGGATGCCCGGAGCCAACTGTAGGCCACTTCGTGGTCTTCGAGTCCCCAGAACTCCATTCCCGGGCCACATTTTGGATGCCCGGAGCCAACTGTAGGCCACTTCGTGGTCTTCGAGTTCCCAGAACTGCATTCCCGGGCCAGATTTTGGATGCCCGGAGCCAACTGTAGGCCACTTCGTGGTCTTCGAGTTCCCAGAACTCCATTCCTGGGCATGAATTTGAATGCCCGGAGCCAAATGTAGGCCATTCCCGGGCCAGATTTTGGATGCCCGGAGCCAACTGTAGCCACTTCGTGGTCTTCGAGTTCCCAGAACTCCATTCCTGGGCATGAATTTGAATGCCCGGAGCCAACTGTAGGCCACTTCGTGTTCTTCGAGTTCCCAGAACTACATTCCCGGGCCACATTTTGAATGCTGAGGCAGGCTGAGGCTGAGGCTGAGGCAGGCTGATGAGGCTGAGGCAGGCTGAGGCTGAGGCTGATGATGCTGGGCAGGCTGAGGCTGACTGTCATCGCGAATGCGACTACGACTGCGAGAACAGCACAATTCTACAACTGGATTCTCATCTGAATCTTAAGGGGAATGCTTCCAGACATGCTCCTACACATCGCTGTTAGGTTGCTTTGCCGGGATAATTTTGGTTCCTATGGAGTGTTGGGGATCTGGCTCAGATCCCTAGGAATCGCTAGGGAATGCTAGGGATCTGGCTCAGATCCCCAGGAATGCAATGTTTTCTACACGCGCACCCAGAACCCGTGCTGACATGCACGCTCGGCGTCTGCGTGCGCTCGCTGCGTGCCGAATGCCAAAATTGCAGCTCGTTTCACCACTCGGTCCCAGGAAACCTAACTACACAATAATTTTGAATTGCGTGGCCATATGCACCCGCGCCAACAGGGTTGGATGCAAACGGTCCTGCGCAATGCCACGCTCCTTGAGGACGCTCGTCGTCTTTGCGATCGTAGCCCTGAGCAACTGCTTGTCAATCGCTTTCTTAAAAGCCATGAACAAACTGCCTGTCACAAGAGTCACCCACGCGTTGGTGATGATCTCTGACACCTTCTGGTAGTTCTGATCCCCCTCGATGCGCAATCCGTATTTCTCACCGTCGGACTTCCAGTGGGCCAGCGCCTTCCAAGAGGGAGGTGAAGGAGGGGGGGCCATGCAGCAGTATCTTAGGCTAACTGGTGCGCGGCTTTCCTTCTCACCTTCCTCCTCGAAACCCATCTGCGACCCACTGAACAACTTATGAAACAAACACAAAGATACGTCGGGCGTGAGCCCGCGCACGTTTGCACCAACATAATTGGGGGGGGCACGCAGCCGCCTTCTCGGCAGCGTCCACATTCTTCTTCAAGGGGCCGATGGTCTTGCTCATCTCCGTGGACAAGATCGTACTGTAGGCGTGGGCCGCCAAGTTTTTCCACGCGTGGAGGTTGGCTGGACCAGCGCTCAACCAGTCCGCGCCGTCGGGGAGGCCGTGCATGTAGGGCTCGATCTTCGCCGCTGTCGTCTGGGTCTCGGCCGATGCCACGTCGACGGCGTGCTGGCCCACCGTCTTCACCGCGCGCCTCGCGTCCTCCACGTACTGATGGATCTGCGCCTTCATGTGCTCGTGCAAGCTGATGTCCGAGTCGGCCTCGTCCTTGATGTAGGCGTCCAGCTTCTCCAAGAGGACGCGCAGGAGGGCAAGCTGCGGGTCCCCGAGATCCACCTGCTCCGCGATGGATGTGTTCGGCAGGAAGTCGTGCAAGTGGTGCGCTGCCTGCGTCGCGGCGTCCGCCATCTCCTTGCTCCCCTCGGGCACCGTCAAGATCTTCTTGATGAGGACGCAGGCGCACTCGCCGAGCTTCGCAGTCATCGTCGAATCCAACTCGTCCTCTGTCATCTTGTCCACGAGAAGGCGCAAGTCGTCGCGCAGGTTGACCGCGGTTGCCGTGATGGTCAACGGGGCTTGATGGCATCGCGGGCCATGCAGGCGTCGGCTTCGTCCATCTCCGGCTTCATCTTCAGAAGCTCGACGTCCGACGGCATGGCGTCGACCGCCTTGCCCAACAGCTGGATGAATGTGCTCTGCTGCGTCTGCGCCAATGACCCCGTCGACGTGGCTGAGGCGACGCTGGTCGACAAATCTTTCAGCGCGGCCTTCACCTCCTTGACGACGGGGGTCGCGAGCTCGTCGTCCAGGGAGCACGCGACTTTCGGGATGGTGCTCAACGCCGCGGTGGTCGCAGCAACCGCCCCGTTGAAGTCCGACAAGAGGGCGGACATGGATGCTGAAACCTGGGGGGCGAGCTCCATGACCATGACTTTGTTCTTCATCAGGGTCGTCCACGTCTTGTTGTACTCGGCGCACGCGCCGATGGCGATCACCACCCCCTCCAGCCCGCTGAAGATGTCCCCGCGGTTGGGGTCGAGGGAGAGGATGTCGCTGTAGAAGGCATCGATGTCGTCCGCCTTCCACGGGCTGGTCGGGTCGCAGATCTTGGCGACGCCGCCCACCATGGAGCCCAGCGCGCCCAAGAAGTGCGACGCGTCCTCGCAGAACTCCTCTGCGTCGGCCAGCAGATCGTCCATCAGCGAAGCCATCCAATAAGAAATCGCCACGAGCATATCCTTCTTCTTGTGGCCTCCCTCGACCAGTGCAGTGTGCACGCCGCTGATGAAACTCTGGTTGAACATGCGGATCTTCTCGGCCATCTCGAGGTCAATGAAGTGGAGCTTCGGCGAATCCGCAGTGAAGGTGAGGCCCGCTTCCTGAGGGGATGTGGGCCATGGCCACACCATCTCAAAGAAGAAGGTGACGTCGGTCATGGACTGGAGCTCGACTGTCATGCGTTCCTGGGGCATCTTCTTGCACATGTTCTTCTGGACGACTGGCGGGATATCGATGGACTGGCGCAGGCGCTCGAAGGCGTCCTTGACATCGCCAGCCGAGGCGCTGAAGATGTTGGTCTCGTGAAGCTTGTTCGCGAGATCGTTCTTCGTCATGTGCAGGGTGGGTCTGTTCCACTGGTCCTTATCCGTGTCCTTCAGCCTTTTCAACTCTCCAGCGGCGTGGTGCGCTTGGGCGCCCAACTTCCCAGCAGTGAGCACCTTCGACAACGGGAGCTTCGCAATCCACTGGTCCCCCTTGCCCACAGCGGGGCCCCCTGCATTGGGGGCCTGGCTCGCCGAATCGTCAGCATCGATGCTGCAGGTGTTCACCGCCGCTGCCTGGAGTCGGCCGGTGGCCGACAGGGCGGATGGAACCCCGCTCACAGCGCTCCTCGCAGCACGTCGCTCCGCCATGATGTTGATCGTCGTCGCCGACAAGGTGCCCTTGCTGTAGAGCATGGGCGTGTGCGGAGAGTCAGTCTCGCCATCTCCCGCCCCCCCCGTTGGCGTGGGCTCGACGCCGCCAGAGAGGACCGAGCACGCTCCTGACATGGTCATCGGCGGCGACATGGAGGGCACCACGCCTGACGGCAACCCCCCGCCGCGGAGACGCCGCATCCCCATCGAGTTGGCCATCTCCTCCGTGAGGGCCAGGCCGGCGCCCTCGTGGGTCTTGAGGTTCGCGAGCAAGGTTAACGGGCCACTCGAGTGAGTCTGCTCGCCCATGCTCCATTCGAACGTCCGCGTGCCCTGGAAGGCGAAGATGTGGTTCTCCTGCTTCATGTGCACACAGCTCTTCTCGCTAACGACGCCCATGCTGATGCTCAGCGTTCGCAGGAAGGACCACTCGATCGTCCGCATGAAGAGCCATGCCTCCTCGACGTCTAGGCTGTCCTCCGAGTGCAACATCATCGAGGGGATCGATTTCGCGTTCTTCTTGGTGGGCTTGAAGCCGCAATATTTGTTCAGCTCTGACCTCGACATGATGAGGGCCTTCCGCTTCACTTTCATGGAGAAGACCTCGCGCTTGCCCACCTCCTCGGGGAAGAACGGCCTCTTACCCTGCTTCTTTCTCTGCATCTTCCCCTCGATGAAATCCTTCTTGCATACTTCGTCGCTCATGCTCGCGACGACGTCGGTGATCGTCATGAAGCTCAGGCTGTGGATGTAGACGTCGTCGCAACTGCGGCGCGCGAAGACGGCTTCGTCCTCGTGGGCGCGCTTGGCCAGGTCGTCGCACGCCTCGCGGCGGCAAACAATTGCTGTTAAGCAACAACTTGCTTCTCGGATCCTCGACCTCCCCCTCCGCGCCCCGCGCGCGCTCCGCCTCCCCTCCTCCGCCACTCTGCGAGCGACGGGGGGGTGGGGGGTGGGCGCGAGGGGACGAGGGGGTAGGGGGCAGGGAGAGGGGGGGAGGGTCGGGAGCATAAGAGGATAGAGGATGGGAGGAATGAAGGATGGAGGGAGGAGGGGAAGGAGCAGGGAGCAGAAAGCAGGGACGGGGGGTTGTTGCTGTGTTGGTGTGATTGTTGTTGATGTTGTTGTTGCTATTGGTTCGATTGTTGTTGTTGTTGCTGCTGCTATTGCTATTACTAGTGGTGTTGCTGTTGTTGTGTTGTTGTTGCTAGTGGTTCGGTTTTCAGCTGGACCCTCGGGGCCTCAAATTTATAGCGCGGGCACCATTTTCAAACTTAAAGCCCAGGCCGACTCCGAGCTTGCCCCGAGAAGGGCCCCGATTTCGAGCAGCCAGATGCTTGTCTGCAGGACCCCTTGCTCTAATGTAAGCATGAAACGGATGTAGCGGTGCCCAGACGGTCGGTCCAGGGCCTTCTCGGTGCCTTCTTTGCGACCCCCCTAGGGCGTAATTTGAACCCATCCGAAGCATGTGTGTGTGTTTCGGCATTGCCCAATCCTGGGCCCTCTCGGCAAGCTTCTCGGGGCTCCGAGAGGGCCCCGCGAGGGGTCCAGGATGGCGTTGATGCCAGGAACCCAAACACAGATGTTAGTGTTTGGCCCTCCGCGTCTGGATCACCCTCTGGGGCCTCTGGGTGCCCTTTCTGAACCCTCTCAGGGCCCTCCCAAGGGCCTAGGAGGTGCCCAACATGGGCACGATGCGGCTCCAAGGGGCCCAAGAGGGCCCCAAAGGCTCCCCACGAGGGTCCAACGTCGGGGGAAATGGCCCTCTTCGCGACCCCTCTCGGCGCCCTCTCGGGGCACTCTTCGGGCACTCTATGGGCACGCGGGGGTCCTCAGAGTCTCCCCCCTGGCACTTCTTGGGCAGCTGAAGGCCTGGAGAGCCCCCCCCCCCCCCCCCCCCCCCCCCCCCCCCGAAACTTTTGTCGAGACTTTTCGGGGAGCTGTGTTATCATTTGTTTTTTTTTCGCAGTGCGCTGTTTAGCTACTCTTTTTTGGAACTGTTTGGAGACTGTGTTGACACTCTTGGGAAGAGGGCGGCGGGTGCCCAAATCGCTCCTGAGACTCTGTCAAAACACTATTTCGAAACTTGTGTTGATACTTTTTGGGTACTTTTTGGGAGGGTTCGGCGCGGGAGACTGTTTCGAAACCTTTTCGATACTTTTTTGTTACCTTTTCTGCGCTTTTTGAGCGGCTCCCCAACACCCCCAAACAGTCCCAACATAGTCTCAACGCAGTCTCAACACAGTCTCAAACCAGTCTCCTGGCCAAAAACGGCACCAACAAGTCCCAAACCAGTCTCAAACATTATCAACAGCCACCTCGCGGCCGCCCCACCCCCTCCCCCCCCCTCCCCCCGCGCCAGACCCCCAGGGCGCGCAAAAAAAAAGTCTCAGACAGGGTCTCGAACACGTCTCGAAACAGTCTCCATCCGAACCCTTCGAACAGCTGCCCCCGAGAGGGCACCGACAAAGGGTCTCGCAGTCCAGCGGGGTCCCAGGAGGAGTCTCAAGAAGAGTCTCGGTGCCAAAAGGGCCCCCCAGGGGAGTCCCGAAAATGTCTGAGGGCACAGAAGGCCCCCCCCCCTGGGGGGACCTCCAGGAGCACCCCGTGGCGCCCCAGCCACGCCGACTGGCCGAAGGGCCGTCGTCGTCGCCGTCGTCGCCGCTGTCACCCTCATCGCACTCGCTGTCGTCGCCGCCGTCGCCGCAGCCGCCGCCGCAGTGCACAGGGGGGCCCTCGTCGCCCCAAAGGGCGCTCCAAGATGCGCCAGCACGGCAATGATGACTGCACTTGCCGCAGGACGGAGTCGGAGATGCATGAGCTCGCGGGCCAGACATGGCGAAGCTGAGGAGAGGGGCGGCGGCGAAAGCCAAGAGAGGGCGCCAGACGGGGGGATGGGGGTGACAAATCACATCGAACCGTTGCCCAGCCACTTGCCAAGCCCAGGCTGTCAGGCACGGGGCGCGTCGCCACGCCAAACCTCGGGTAGATCCGTTCAGCGATGGGGGAAGTGCAAGTGCTGCAAGCTTTGACAATGAGTTTGCGCGGCGCCAAGGTTAAGGCGAGAGCGTGATTTGAACGCCACTCGCCCTCCATCAGCGTAGCTGATGCAAGTTGTAGACGAGCTCAGGCGAGAGCCGCAACTTGAAAACCGCCCGCCTTCCATCCGCGTCTGCTGCGGATGTTTAAGATGAGCGTGCGCGGCGCTAAGACGAGAGCCCCCGCCTCAACGTCGACCCCTGCCCCCCTCGCCCATCGGCGCCCCAGCCGCCCTTCTTGCACGACAACCTCTAATGGAAGCGAGGGCCTCACCCCCTCCTCATTTCGGTTGTCCCTGCTCTTCCCCCTCATCACCGCTCCCTGGCATCCTGCTCTCTCCATCTCCCCCCCCCCCCCCCCCTCCCCCCCCCCCCCCTCCCCCGCCACCCGCACCCCGCCCCTTAATCGTTTTTTTTTTTTTTTTTTTTTTTTTTTTTTTTTTTTTTTTTTTTTTTTTTTTTTTTTTTTTTTTTTTTTTTTTTTTTTTTTTTTTTTTTTTTCCGCTCATCGGCAAGGCGCCATCTCTCTGGCTCCTCGGGCTCTCCAGGGCGCTGCGGGCGCTCCTTCGACATGAGATCCAAACCACCTGGCAGGCCGCGAAGGAGCTCCCGAGCACGCCGCCTCATGTACGGACGCAGCGTCAGGAGTGCGAATTTGTTTTTGCGCGACGGCTTGTCGCCACAAGCCTCCCCAAGGTCCAGAACCCACCATGCTAACGAGCCAAGTGGGCGGCCCTGCGCCGCCGAATTCTCAAGATCGCTGCCGTGCGCTGCTGCGCTCATTGTGCAGCGGCCAGGGCCACGATGGCACCTGGCCTCGAAACACCTGCCTTTCCTGTAATACAAAATCGTACCTTTTCCTGAGACGTTGACAGCATGCTGCACAGGCTCGCGGCTCGCCCGCGACCCCACCGCTGAGCGGGAGGCCCGAGAGACAAGAGGCGGGGGCGGAGGCAACGGAAAACATGCGGGGGCATAGGGGCCTCGGGCGGCAGCGGGGCCTCGCCGCCGCCGTCGTCGCCCTCGCCCTCGCTGAACAACTCGTCGACGTCCATGCCGACCTCGTCCTATGCGGATCGGGGGGCAGGAGGGCGATGCAACCCCAGCCCTCCCACCCCGCCCCAGACCCACAGAGGGAGCCTGCCGAGGCGGCCCGACACGGCTCCAAGATGACCCCCAAGAGACCTACAAATGTTCCTCGTGTTGCTTCCGCCTCTTGATATCATCTTCCTCCTCCGTAATGTGCAACTGTTCATCTTACCAGGGATTGCTTCGTATCCTGCCTGCCTTCCACCGCCCCCTCCCTAACCCCCTGTCGTCCAACCTCCTCGTCACCTCCCGCTCCTGGGGACGTATAGGGCCGTTTCGGTGGCGTGTCGGAACCTACCGGGGCTTGTTTGTGATGTGTTAGAGCCGTTTTTTGTTTTACGTGTTGCTTGATTACTGTGCTTTTGTTTGAAGCGTTGCTGTTTTACAATTTCCACACCGTTGACCTAACTAGCTAATGTGTTAAGTGTAGAGGCCTCCCCACCTTAGGATTAGGCGATGCTTGCGGGAACTTACATTCAAGTATGCCGTCCTCGCCACCAGCGCGGACGTCGTCTGCGCCGCCGTGGTCGTCGCCGCCCACGGGCCCGTCGTCCAGGGGGAGGGGGTCCTCCAGGTCCTCCTCCTGGTCCGACGCGATGCTCCCGTGGTCGCAGTCGTCGCCGTCGTCCGCGGCGGCGGGCCGCGCAGCTGTGGCCCGCCTCGTCGCCTTCCCTGGCTGCCGCAGCTCGGACTCGGGGCCCATGGAGACCACGACGACGTCGGCAGGGCGAAAACGGGCGACAGCACGACCACTTTCGTCGATGACCCAAAAGCTGATCGACCAATCGGCCGAGAGGTCCAAGCTACTGAACGCCTCCCAATCAACCAAAGACTCTGTGGCATCTTTCGTGGGGGGCGGAACTATAGCAATGACGGAATCCTCCTTCTCCTCTCACCCCATCCCCCATCATCCTCCCCCCATCGATCCCTATGACCCCTTTTCCGACTAGCCTCCTTGTCTCGTCACGCCCTCCTCTTCTCCCTCGCCCCCTGTGCCTGCGCCTGCGTGCCTGCGTGCGTGCGCATGCGTGCGTATCTGCCCGTATTTGCGCGCGCCTACGAATATGCGCACGCGTGCGTGCGCGCGCGTGCGTGCCAGCGCGCATGCGTGCACGCGCGCGTTCGTGGTGGGATGAACGTGTTTCCGTTCCGCTAACGGCTCCTCCAGCAATACCTCCACCTGGCCGCCGACGGCCTCCTGCTCGACGAAGGCGAGCGGCCTGAAGTTGGAGCGGTAGGGGCTGAACTCGTGGGATCCGATGTGCCACTGCACGTAGGCGTCCACGCCGTCGGGGCCGTCGCCAGAGAGGCCAGCTGCCACAACGCCCCAGCCATCGACGACAGCCGCCTTGATGCCGTGCAATCGCACGACCAAGCTGGAATCGTCCAAGAGCTTCCGCTCGGGTGACCCCTTGGTGCAGAGGCCCTTCAGCTCGGAGTAGAAGCGCCTGCGGAACTTCTTGATGACATCGGCCTCAGTGCAACAGATGCACATGCCGATCTGAGCACAAGTGTATTTCTTCTTCTGGACGGGCACGTCTACGGGGGCACAGTCGTCGTGTATGATTGCCCTGTGCCTCTCCATCAAGTCTGATGCGAGACAAGCTTTCATGTTGCTGCCGTGCCCTGGCATCCACAGCGAGCGAGCGATCGAATCTGTCGACGTAGTAGGGTGCTTGAACTCCAGCATCTGGCCGATGTGCGAGGGCATATGAGAAAGCATAACCTGGAAAGCAGCCACGCCCTTGAAACTGTTGCACATGGATGCCCACTGGGCAGCGCCCGTAGTCGACTCCCAAGCCTCCATCGCGTCGGCCATCTTTCGCTCCTCGGTCTTGGCCACGCGGCGCAAGCTCACCATGTGCGACTGGGCAACCCGCATCATCGAGTCCATGTTCACGGTGGCGTTGGGATCTGCCGATGCTCGCCGCATTGCCAAATCAGTCATCCCCCCGCGGCTGGTCGGCACGACAGCCTCCGCGACGAGCTGCTGCTCAGACACCTCCCGCCGCCTCTTGGCCTGGGCGCGAGCAAGGTCGCGGGGCCGAAGGCCGAAGGCGCTGCCAGGTGCACCCGCAGCACGGGAATTCCCATTGGCCGCGGCTGCGACGGCAGCCAGCCTCGCCACCTCTGCTCTGGGCAAAGCGCGGTGCGCAGCGCTCAAGGCGGCGATGCACTGGCGGCCAGTCTGACCAAGGGATTGCTCCCTCAGGAAAGCATGCCAAGAATACACCGTGCCCCTGACAGTGGTGGTAGCATCCTCGCCCTCTGGCGGCCCGCCAGGGCCCCCCTGCGTCATCGCCGCCACCTGCTGGCGCGCCCCCCTCACCGACTGCTCGACATGCCCTGCCTGATAAACGAGCTTGGGCAACCGCCCATTCGGCCGACGACTCCGCGAACGTTGCCGAGTGGATCTGCACTCCCCTGGCCATCAGCCGCCTGCGGATCGAGGCGTGGCGGGGCTCGATAGCTTTGATGTCCATGCCGATCATGGCGGCAAGCAGGTTCAACTCTGCGATCGCCGCTGGGTTCGACAAGCCTCCGTCCGCGCCCTTGTGTCGCAGCACAAAGTCCTTCGTCCAACTGTCCATGCGGCAATCCTGGAGGTCACTCACCTCCTGCGCAACGGCTGGGTCCACGATCATGGCGAAGATGCGAGTCGGAAGCAAGCTATGTCGATGCGTGAACGCCTCCCGAACCTGGCGCTCAGACCTCGAAAGAAGCTTGAACGCGAGGGCGCGCGCCTTCTGAGTCATCGCCGACGGCTGCACGAGGTCCTTCCACAGCGCGTGCTCGCGAAACAGAGGGTCCCACGCAGCCTTGAAGACGCGCGCAGGGGTGCCAAGCGCAGCCTCCACGATCGGCCACGTCCTGCTCGTCGAACTGGCTGCGCCCGTGGACTCAGCCTGGACAACCATGCCCCTCTGCTTGATCTCCCAGTGCTTGCCGCCGACCTCGAGGTGCCAATCCATCGTCCGACGTAAAGGCTCCAGCACCTGCCGAATGATCACCACTCTGTCAAGCGGCGACGTGTCCATTCAATCTCCAGCGGTGCTGCGATGGTACTCATTCTCCAGCCGCTTTGCATTGAAATCCCCATGGCCCTGCCCATCGCCGCCGCTGGCAGCCGCAGCCTCTGCGGCGCCGCCCTCGCCGCCATCGGCGGCGCCAGGCCCAGCGGCAGCAGCTGGCAGAGCCCCGCCATCGCCCAGCCGAGGTCTCTTCTTGGAGCCCCGAGCCATCTCTTCCGCCCATATAGCCCAGACAACAGAGCCCAAGCCGTGAATGCCATCAAGTAGGATGAACTCGTCCATGGCAACGTCGGACCCCGTCCACCTGCTCCTCGGCCACCGGGTGAATCGAGCTCCCAAGAGGGCGACCTCCAAGGCCTCCGACACCGACTTCTTGATCTCGCTCGCGTCTATGTCGATGCCCTCGGGAATCCATATGTCGACGTGCTCTCGGTCCCTCCAGTCCCCGTTCGGCAAATGGTGCAAAGCTGTCTTCTTCTCGATCAGTCGACTCCCCCTTGCGAGCGAAAGGCGCAGCAAGTGCCGCTTGCACGGGGCGGCCTCTGGAGGGGGCCTCCCCCTGCAGATGCGAGCCCGCTGTTGAACCACAGCACGGAATATCCGACAGAAAGAAGAGAAGCCCGATCCCTCGTTGACGGCAAGTGCGAAATTGATCTGGCCAGAAACGTCGGAGCTCGTCAGGTCGAAGGTGTGCGCGAATACGTTCGCGAGGCAATGTATGGAGCATGTGCAACCAATCTTGCCCCGGCCGTCGCTCGTCGGTCAACCCCGACCTGCGCCTCGCAGCAGGCGTTCGGGCCAGCGCCGTCCAGGACTGACACGCGCGTCTTGCACGCAAAGTCCTTAGCAGCCCGTCCAACAGCAGTGGTGCGACGTTGGTCCGCCTCTCGAAGACACTCCCCAGTGTTCCGATCCAGCCACTGGAGCGGAGCAATGGACGCACCGACGATGCCGACGTACTCGCCCGCGCTGGTCCTCAGAAGGTACCCGAACCCCGACGAGCTCTGCAGCAGCTTGATGACAGTTCTCTCTAACTTCGGCTTCCCCCGCTGTCGAGATCGATCCATGTGGTACACGGCCGCCTGCTGCTGATCGGAAGGGCCCACTGCACCACGACCACGTGATAGGAAAGAATCGTTCACTGAACGCTTCATCGGGGTCTCGTCGTACGTGACCGCCTCGACGTAGTGGAGTAAGTTCTCCTTGGTGACCGTATTTGCCACATAGCTCTCCAGCGCAAGCTTCTGGTCCCGCTCGAAATGTACGATGGTGCTGGCCAGGGCGATCACGTGCTCGGTGTAGCTCCCAGGGGTCACGCCGACTGAATCCTGGATAGATGCCTTGGACGTAGTTCTGCCAGCCAGCTCGGACGACGAATCCATCAACATGCGGTTGAGCTTCGCTGGCGCGTCTTGGTCTGATATTCTCTGGCGCTCGATCGTGAGCGCTGCCATTCGAACGTACGGGAGCAGCGGCCACTGATCTGTCGAGCCTCTGCCCGTGCATTGGACTATGTGTCTGGGCACGGTGGACAGCTTCACCGTGGACTCCGACAGGGGCAACGCCAGGGCGTTGGTGCGGCCCGCGACCGACCTCGCGGCTGCCCGACTGGGCCTGCGGGGCGGGGGGCGCGGCCATCTGGCCGCGGCGCCCGCGGGGCCGCGGGGCTTCGGGTGAGGCTCACCCGCAACCTCGGCGAGCACATCGCCCCAGCCGTCCGCCATCGCGGTCTTGCCGCACAAAAAAAAAACACACACAACGTGCCAAAGCCTTGCCGAGATCACATGTACGATCCAAAACGGCAGCGCGTGGTGATGATGATGGCGGCGATGCTGCTGCCGTTGGCGACGGGGGGGGGGGGGGGGGGGGGGGGGGGGGGGGGGGGTCCTGAATCCCTTGGGAAGGGGAGGTGTACGTGGGGGGGGGGGGGGGGGGGGGGGGGGGGGGGGGGGGGTGGGGGGGGGCAAGGGGCGCTTTTGCACCCGCCATCACAACCCTTCCTTTCTGTCATGTGTCATGCGCCCCCCCCCCCGCTCACCCCCGCCCAGCCCCCGACCATATTTTGTCTCCCCCCTCGCTCATTACCCAACCCCCTATTCAAAACAGAGCAAGGCGGACGTCGAGTCGGCGCGTGTCCTGCCCAAAGGGCACGGGGGGAGCCTGAAAGGGCCTAGGTTGAACCATGCGGAAGCTCGCGTCGCACCTGTGGGGAAAAGGGCTGAACCCCCGCCAAACTACACATCGCACTCAGCGCGCGCTCAGGTTCTTGGGGGGCGATGCGCTGCGGGCCCGAGGCAGACCCAACAAAACGTTAGAACTATTATGTCTTCAGCATTATCGAATTGATACGAGCGAGCATTGTTTTTGATATTTGTTTAACTGTTTTGGGGCTGCGTCGGAAACGTAGGAAACAACTGTTTTGAAACTCCCTGGGAGATGTTGCGGGGAGTTATCATTTTCCCAGCTGGAGGAGGCCGCGCATATCATAAAGCCAGCAGAAGCCTACTAGGTTCTCAAGGCCCACGCACATCGTTTGGTTGCGGGGCGGGCGCCTGGGGATATTTCTCCATGGGCCCTCCATCGGTTCGCGGTGCTCCAGGAGGGCCGCCAGCGGGCCGCCCCTCATGGTGCACCTGGAGTCCACGACTCTCGGGGCCAAGAGAGGGGGGTCAGGGTCGCGTGATATCCCGCGCCTAGTTGGAGGGGGGGGGGGGCCTCAGGTGGGCCGCGTTCTCTCCGCGCCTAGGCCCCGCCGCCCTTTCTCCCGAGTTGTGCGACCTTGCGTCGGGCGGGCGATCGGGATCCTTCGACCGTGAGCGCTTGATCCGTTGCTGATCTCGTCGGCGCCCCCCCGCCCGTGGGACGCTTCGCTGTCGGAGGTGCTGACTCCGAGGTCGCGTTCCCTCGGGAGCCACTCCCGGGCGGTGTCCCCCCCGCGTTCGCCGTCCACCCCGTGCTCCGTCGGGTCCCGTTGCTGCCAATCACCATCCGCGCCGATTCCGATTGGGTCGAAAGGCACCGCGGGGGATATTTCCACGTCTTCTGCCGCGCCAGACCTAGGTAGTGGGGTCGGGAAGGCTGCGAAGGGACACGGTGAGAGGCGGGGGGGGTGTCAGGTGGGGGCATGTCTCCGTCCCCGCTGGGCAGATCCAGCGAATTGCTGGGTGGTGCATCTTGTGGGTCACCTCGGGCGGCGCTTGCCTCTTCCGCGGGGTCGGGGGGGTTCATCGCTTGTGGGGTCACTTATTCGGTGCCCCTCCCTGCCCGTGGTTCTTCTTGGCAATCCTGTGCTGCTGAAGCCGCCCCATCGGAGCATGTCTGGGGGGACTTGTGTCTGCGCTGGGCGGTCTAGGTCATTTCTGATTGCTCTCTCTGCCGCCACTTGCAGAGGATCTGCAGTCGCCGCTGGGGGGATCTATTAGTCTGGACACTTGGCGGGGGGGCTGTGGTGCCTTCTTCGATGGGTTCGGCTCGACTTTCGTCTGGCAAACCTCCATTGCCCATCTGCCAATGTCCGTTTCATTCCTCGGTCTTTCATTCGGTATGGGGACGCTGCCCTGAGTCGCCGCAACCGAGGGACCGACGACAGGATGGGGGGCGCGTCCACGCACAGTTGGGCGATCGTCCTGTGCTGTGGGAGGAGGGGGAGGGGCGGAGGAGGAGACGCAGCCGATAGCCGCAAAATCTGGTGAATTAAAGGGGGGGGAGGGAGGATTGGCCCTGTGCGTCCGAGCTGAGCGGTCTAGGACATCACTGACTGATCTCTCTGCCGCATCCTGCCGAAGGTCTGTAGTCGCCGCTGGGGGGGATCTGTCCACCTGCGCACTTGGCGGGGGGGCTGTGCTGCCTCCTTCGCTGGGTTCAGCTGGATTTTCGTCGGGCAAACCTTCCATTGCTGTCTCGCAGTTCCGAGCTAGGGCTTCATTCTCTGCTTCGGGGGCCAGGTTGGAGCCCTCTGCTCGGTGCGCGCGGGACCTGCTCACCTCCTTGCGCGGGGAGGGGGGAGGTGTGGGGGGAATTGGGATCTGAGCTGCATCCATCGCAACATCAGGGAGCGCTCCTTACCCCAGTGGTTGTGTCTCTTCCTCTGCCGGGCAGGGGGAAGATGCAACCGGAGCTGGCATCGGTTCTGTGTCAGGCGCGCCTGAGTGTGGGGGGTGCTCCCTGCGGGGGTTTGGAGGATCGATCGATCGCAATGGCTGGGCTCCCATGCCATGCGGTGCGCAATCCCTATCCTCGTTCCCTCCGTCCGGTGGATCGAGCATCGCATGGGCCGCGGGCGTCGCCAGCGTCCCGGGGGAATCGCGAGCGAGGTGTAGTGAAGCGTGCGGCCCGGGGCAGGGGGGCGGCGCGGCGTCCGGGCGCTCCCTTGAGCGCGGGAGACTGGCCTGAGGGGACCAGGCCCGCAGACGGCTTGAGCCCACGTCCGTCTCTTGATTTCCTTCGAGAGCCTCATTATCGGCCTCAGGGGGCTGGGTGGGACCTGCTACTGGTGCCTCGCAGTGACGGATTGACCCCCTGCGGGGGGAGGAGGGTGGCGTGAACGGGACTGGGATCAGGACGGGGTCCATGGTGGCGTCAGGACGGTCCTCGCTCCCCACTATATCGCTGCCGTCCTCCGCAGGGCAGGGGGCCATCGTGGGCGCAGCTCGCGTCGGCCCTGTGCCTGTCCCGACTGCAGGAGGGGGCTGCTGTCTGGGGGGGGTCTGCATTTGATCTGAATCTGGGGGGGGGGCCGATCGGAGCCAGTGACTGGGCTCCCGCGCCTTCGCCCCCATCGTTAGGCCGGCCCTCCATGAGGCTGCGGCACAAATCAGCTCTGAGGCGCGGGCCACTGAACCCGTCAGCGCTGGCGGCGAGTCTGCAGCTATAGCCGGCGCGCCCAGGAGGCAAAGGGGAGGGTCCAAAGGCGGGGGCCCGCGGCGCGGCGTCCGGGCGCCCCCTTGAACAGCGGGGGACTGCCCGGGAGGGGGCAGGCCCGCCAGACGGCCTTTAGCCAGCGGGGCTACGGAAACTGGTGGGGATACGCGAAGCGTCTAGAATTTTGTTGATAAGCCCCCTGCTTGCCAGGCATCGGGGCTACTACAGTCAGGCCCCTGCCAGAAGGAACGCTAAATAAGGAACGAAACCATTTTTTCCATAGTCAAATGATAGATATGTAAGGAACGGCCGAACCCCTTTTTGGAAGCGTTCCCTCATCGTTGGCTCTCGTTTTGACAGAGACTCCCCGTTCTGCCGAGACCTAAGGAACGGGTGCCCGCGGCACGCAACAGGAGAAACAAAACAAACGCCACTGGTGAGCGCCGCGCAAGGATCGGCTGGGCTCTTGTTCATATAAAAAACTGGACGCACGAGTGGGGAGAGAGAGAGAGAGAGAGAGACCCGACGGCCCCCCTGCCAACTTTGGACCTGCATCGATCGCAAGGAACCGAGGGGCTCGCGTGCGCTCGCCGCGGTTGTCGACAAAAAGTAACCCCTCCAGCCCATCCAGAAACGATGCCCAGAGGAATTGCCTCGATCAGGGAAGTGGGCAGCACGCAGAGGAAGGGTCCCCCAGTGGAGACCTCTTGGAGCGTCTTGGGGGCCTCTTGGCGGTCCCGGGCGCCTCTTAGAACTTCCTGGGTGCCTCGGAGAGCTTCTTGGGGCCTCTTGGGGGTCTCTTCGGAGCCTCTTGGAGGCCTCTTCGGCGCCTGTTGGGGCCTCCTGGGGCCTCCTGGGCGCCTCTTGGGGCCCTCTTTCTTGGAGCGCTCTTGGGAGCATTGGGAGCGCTCTTGGAGCCCTCTTGGACCATCTTGGAGCTATCTTGACGCCTCGGCGAGAAAGCCAAAAACATTGATTTTCCTAAGAAGGTTTTGGAAGGATTTTGGCCTCTTCGGGGTCTCCTGGGAGAGCTAGCTATTTGGCCACTTGGAGCCGTCTTGGAGCGGCCTTGGGGCCTCTTGGAGCATCGTGGGAGCTATCTTGAGGCATCTTGGGATATCTTGAGCCATCTTGGAGGTCATCTTGGGCTCTCCCAGGCGCTCTTAGAGTCATCTGTGCCCGCCCCCAGGAGGCCCGAATGTGGCCGAAACCTTCGTACAATCAATGATTTGGGCATTGTCGTCGAGGCCTCTTGGAGCGTCTTGGGTGCCTCTGGGGAGCCTCTTGGGGGCATCCTGGGGGCCTCTTGGGAGCCTCTTGGGGCCTCCTGGCCACCTCTTGGGGCCCTCTTGGGGCACCCTTAAAAGTGTTGGGAGCGCTCGTGGGGCCATCTAGGAGGAGATCGATCAAAGACGGGTGGTTTCTGAATTAGCGTCGCCCCCCCAAGAAGCCAAAATGGGGCCAAAACCATAGTATTGTACTTTTGCGCAGTCCCCCGAATCAATTACTTATTGCGCGCACTTCCACCGTGTGACGTCATGCCTCTTACGACAGACCATGACGATGTCATTCTCAACGTATTCCGCCGGATCTTCACGATACCAACAGAAGCAGATTGGGACAGCAAATTGTATGGGGTTTCCTACGCCACGTGGATTGCTCAAGCGAGATGGTCATTTCGGCTGGCAGGGATGGGCTTCCGGGGCTCGGGGCGCACGTCCCATGCAGCGTATTGGCTAGCTGGGCCGACAAATTACCGGAGATGATCGCCAAATTCCCCGCACTGGGACGCAGCGCGCCGCTCTACTTACATGTAGTTCAAACCACTCCAGACCTAGTTCCTAGTGCTGCACCACGATGTCTCATTGCAGCCGAACTGGGAGGCAGATGCTGCGATGAGGCTGGTTGGACTGAGCGCCCTACGTTGACCAACACTGCCGCTGTACAACGACCTCCGACTCTGGACCCAACTCGTATCAATTTAAAGGAATGGCAACATGAGTGGCAATATCATGGTTCATACCATCTGGAAAAAACGGCCCAATAATACGGCATCTGTTGGCAAAGCACGCGTGTACTCATCAATGGGACGGTTTGCTTCAGGATGGTTATTGCTTGGGTGTTGAAGTGTACGGCCGCTGGGGCGACAAAAGTGCCGCTCTCGTGCCGATCTTGGCAAACGAACGAAGTCGGGACTTCTACGGGCGAATTCGAAGCGGTGCTACATTAGGCTTGCAACATCGGCGGTGGAGCATTTTTTGGACTGGCTTTGCAACGTGCCGTTGCTCGGCGCATCTTGGGACCAGGAGGCAATCTGCCTGACACGCCGCATGAGTCCTTCTGCCCCCCGCTGATCAGGAGGTGTGGTGATCCTCGTCCTCCTCTTCTTCCTTCTCCTTCTCCTCTGCTTAGCCAGCTACTTGCGTACCACATTGTTTGACCTGCGCTTGGTTTCCAGGCGTGGCCTTCCCCCCAAAACAAAAAACATTGGGCTCCAACATGGGATCATTGAAGATAGTCAGCAACTCCGTGATGGTCGCCATGACGACGAACATCGTCACCGCCCTGCACATTCTTTCTGGACAGGTCGGCACCCGGAAGCCTCCGCAGCTCGCGCTCCAGGATGTCCAGGACAATGTCGGCGTGGAACTTGGTGAGGTAGCGCACACCGTTGCACGCGTGATTTAAGTCCGCCAGCTGCTTGACCACCCGCTTGTCCAGGCGACGAGGGGCGGCCCGCTGGCGAGCGAACATCAAGCCGTTGCGTACGGTGGTGACGCGCCACGCCTGCTGCGTGGCGAAGAGATCCAGGGCCCGCTGACAGCTGGACGCGAGGATCGCCAGGGCCCCATCGTCTTGGGCACGCGAGCGGGCCATGAGAGGGCGCCGAGGTACTCAGAGCTCGGGAAGCTCGGTCCCACACAGAGTTCGAGGCCAAGTGGCTACGGAAGGGGAAGGAGGGGGCAGAGGAGGAGGAGGAGGAGGAGGATGAGGAGGAGAAGAAGGAGTAGGAGAAGGGTTAAGGAGGCTCGGACATTGGCTCTGGACGTGGGCGACTTCTTCGAAAACCAATGGTGAGAGTCAGGCCGGGGGAGGGAAGGAACATGCAAACCAACAATAACGAATCAGAACTTACATTCTTGCCGGGGCTTGCCGGGTACCGGCTCTGAGAGGCTTACCAGTTGCCGGCAGCTTACCGTTTAAGGGGGCTTACCAGTCAAATCAGGAGTAGGAATGCTTGCCCCAAGCGGCAAGCGGCATGAGTCCATGGGAAGCTCGGAAGGGGGGGGAGGAGGAGGAAGAGGAGGAGGAGAAGGAGGAGGAGGAGGAGGGCGGAGGGCGGCACATACTCCTGGCAATCATTGACCGAGCGCCTCGCTGCGGCCGTCCGCCGACCGATCAGGGGCGGCGGCCGCGCCGAGCACACCGACGGCGGCGAACGGCCTCCGAGCCGGGCTAGAAGGAGAAGCTGGACCTGGCGCTCGCAGACCGCACGGAGTCCGCGCTCGCGCAGCACAGCGCCCTCTGTCCGGGGGCGTGCCGCAGAGGCGAGCGATGAAGACTAGCGGGCGAATAACGGCGTAATATAAACGTTTCCGTCGCAGGGGGCGCCTGTGCCAGGGCGGCTGGACAGTTGATACCCCCACGGTGAGGCGCCCCGGAGGACTGAAACAACTATTTCATACCGTTCTCCGCCCCCTGAGAACAGTGACGGGTCCTACGCCAGAAAACATAACTACCTCACGCCGCGGCTTACGCGGGCTGCCAGCGTTGCACACCGCGTGGCGAGGAGGGCGCTTGTGCGCGGCCTTCGGCGGGAAGCTCGCGCGCGACGGCCGGCGCGGTCGGCCTTGTTTTCTTCCGTTGCTCAGCTGACCCTGGCCCCGAAGTGACCCCAGCATCTCTGCGCGGAGAGCAAGCACAGGCAGCACAAGCGTAACATGCGGGGGCCTGCTCGGATCTGTTGGGCCGGCGCTGGAACCCTCTGGAGGCGCCTCCGCCGCCCACCCAAGGCGTGTTCCGCGCGCCGGGGAAGGGGGCGTCCAGCGCCGGCCCAAGGAATCCTTGCGGGCCTCCAACAGCGTATGCTCATACTGCCTGTTGTTGTGCAAGCTCCCAGGGAAGCCCAGATGGCCAAAAACGGCCCGAGAAGCTGGGGGACCTGGGCGCGTTGGGGCTGTCGGGCCCCTATCGGCGATCAGTGGGCGATTGGGGACCGGCGAACTCCCCCTGGGGCCTATCCCAACCGCACCGCCGCCCCTGATCCGAGCGGATTTCGAGCCATGACTCAAGCCTCCGCCTGCCGTTCGGGACGACTCTGGCACCGCCTGAGCGCCCTCGACGAGGCACAGCTCTTGGAAGCCACCCTGGGCTTCGAAAGCCTTTCATACGGCCGGCAGCATCAGAAATCTGACCCACCTGAGCCCATCCCGAAGACGATAAACCAGGACGAGGACAACTTCGAGTGAGGATGAACACGGAGACTCTCTGAGACCCGGCGGCTCTGGAGGATGCACCTGGCGCCGCGGCCTCCTCAGAGCGCTCCAGAGCGCTCCGAGAGCCTCCGACACGCTCCGGAACGGATGCATCCTCGTCCGAGCCCCGCCCGAGTCGCTTTGTTGCTGGTGGCGGGGCTCCCGGGGATCTCGATCCTTGCCTTAAGTCGGGCCTGTCCCCCTACAGGGGGATTTTGGACGAAAAATTTAAAATACCTCCAAAATACTCCAAACAAATGCAAAAATAGTCCAAACATGGTCCTCAGACTATTTTTTTAAAGCTATGTTTGAAGATTCCCCCTGTAGAGGGACAGACCCGACTGAATCCTTGCCCCCAGAGCGAGTGACCCCAGCCTCTCCACGCGGAGAGCAGGCCACGGACGGCCTCGGGCGGCCACAAACCCCATCAGTCCCAGCCCTGATGGTCGCAGGGAGCTGGGCGGCGCAGACCATGATCGTGGAGATGCAGCTGGAAGGGTCCCGCAGCACTGGTTGAGTCTATCGTGTTCGGAGCTTGACAGACCTCCTACCCTGACACGTCGATGCAGGAATTGGCCGTTTTCGGCTCGCGAGGGGGCGCCACGGTCGTTCTTTCTGCGGGTCCAGGTCCGTCGGTCTCGGTCCTGGGTCCTGGGCCGCTTTCACGAAAAGGGTGGCTTACTGAAGGGAGGTTTGTCCACCGCCGATGTGTGCTAATCAAATGCTTTCTGGAACAGGACCGCCGTCGATGCCGAACTCCCCCCCGTTAGGAGGAGGAGGAGGAGGAGGAGGAGGAGGAGGAGGAGGAGGAGGAGGAGGAGGAGGAGGAGGAGGAGGAGGAGGAGGAGGAGGAGGTCGGGCCAAACTCGGCCGCGCGCGGGGGCGGCCCCGGGCAAGAGCCCGCCCCCCTGTGCGCGGCACCGGGGGGAGGCCGTCCGGGGCCACCGCCGGGCGCGGCGGCCGCTGCTGCCGCCTCGCGCTCCGCGGTCGGGGGGCCCGCACCGAAGGTCCCTCTGGCGAAAGGTCACTCTTGCTGGACGAGCGCGTTCCACTGCTCGCAGGGTGACTGCTCGCAGATGGCCTGGCTCCGCCGTGGGGGATCTGCGATATATATTGCATCGAAGCAGACATCATGTTTTTTCTCCCGACGTTTGCGAGTAGGCACTCTGCGAGCAGTGGAGCGCGCTCGGTGATTTACGTGTAGCCGACCAGATGCCACCTCGGGCACCCCCCTGGGTCTGCATGTCGGTGGTGTAGCGGTTGAGCATGGCGACGAGGTCGTCGTCGGCCTGCTCGCGCGCTCTGGCAGCCAGCCCCAGCTCGCGCCTCGCCCAGTCCAGCTCGGCGGCGGCGTTCGCGCGGAAGCGCTCGCGCGAGGCCTCGAGTTCGCGGAGGCACACGGTGGCCTCCTTACTTGTCGGCGGCGAGCGAAGGGGGGAAGTGAGGAGGAAGCCTTCTCAGAAGGCGGCAAGACTTCTCAAACACCCTCGCGCCTTCTGAGAAGTTTTCTGTGTCTCTGGGGAAAACTTAGAACAATGCTTCAGAAGGCCAGGGGGCTTCCGAGCCTTCTGAGAAGGCCCGCCCCCTCTCACTTCGAGTGGGGGATCGATTACAACATCAATTTACCCCAATATACGTGGACGGTTCTTAGATCGACGAACATTCTACGTACTTGTTTGCAGATTCGACGAACAAATCAATTCTGGGGTAGATCGCTTATGAAGTCGATCCCCTACTCGATTACTTGAGCATCTTTCAACCGAACCCCCAGTTCAACATGGAAGAAGCGTGTCCCGAGGGAACGGGTCCTGGACCCCTGGGCATTCCCCGAAAATCAACTCTTCACAATGAGACGTTTCCTGACAGTCCTGGGGCCCGTGAAGGGCCTCGGGGAGCCAAGCACGTAGAACAAATGCAGGGCCCGTTGCCCTCAGGACCCGCTTCCCCCATGGCGACAATCCCACACCCTTTTCGCTCCCTTTTGGAGCTTCTTGGGCCCTCTGGGCCTCGTGAGGGCTGATCTGGAGGCCGTGGGGCCTCTTTGGAAATCCTGCGGGCACCTTGGGTCAGGGGGAGCGCCACGTACCCTCAACGCGCGCCTGCAGCCCGCGCACCCGCGCGCCTGCAAATACGCTGCCCGTACTATCCGTGTTGTTTCCCTCGGGTTTCGCGGGGCCCATCGGTCTGAGATGGCATGGCCCGGTGGGGACGAGGATACGTTGGACGACAAACTCTCAGATGTCCGCGCGGATCTCTTGAATCGGCGCTGAACCCCCCTTCCATTGCTGGGTGCGCAGGGCGCGTCTGGGGGCGACGCCAGAAGCGCCGCTAGAGGGGGCTCAGCGACCTCCACACATGTATGAATGGTCACGCAGATTTCTCTTGTCCGAATCCTGGCGGAGTTGGTCGAACCGTCTTTCGCACGCGAGCCGCCCCTGGTCGAGCCGCACTACGGCCTGCCGCTCCGCTTCGGCCAGCGCCGCGGAGAGTAGCGCCTCGCGGTCCCTGCGCTGGGACGCCTCCCTGTCGAAGGCCTGCTGGTGGAGGGAAAAATCACTGGGACCATGACTAAGACTGAATGCGGAAACGTCGGCATCCGATCTTGGCCATCCTCAATTTTGGTCATCGTCGATTCGTGGACCATCCTCGCGACTCGGTGACGGTCGGCATTGATCCTGACCAAGATCGACGTCGACAACGAGATCCCTCGACATCTTGGCCATGACCCTCGTGATTTTTCCATCGAGCTGGAGGCTCTGCAGGCTGCCGAAGTTACGTGCGCAGTGGCCCTGCCGCTCCTGCAGGTAGGCCTCTCTGCACCGGCCGAAGTCCTGCTCCACGGCCCGCATCCGTTCGTCCAGCTCGAGCAGCGAGGACTGCGCGCCGTCGAACTGGCCCAGGAAGACGGCGTCCAGCCTGCCCTGGGCGGCCGCCAGCTTCTCCTCTCGGCGGCTCCTTCGCCATCGCTCGGGCGCCCCTTCCCCGTGCATGTTTCGGTTTCGCGCGTGTGAAACACACGCACAACACACACACACACGCATACGCACACAAGCACGCGCACGCGCACGCGCACGCGCACGCGCACGCGCACGCGCACGCGCACGCGCACGCGCACGCGCACGCGCACGCGCACACGCACGCGCACGCGCACACGCACACGCACACACACACACACACACGCACACACACACACACGCACACACACACACCAGCACACACCAGCACACACCAGCACACACCAGCACACACCAGCACACACCAGCACACACCAGCACACACCAACACACACCAACACACACACCAACACACACCAACACCCACCAACACCCACCAACACACACCACACACACACCAACACACACACCAACACACACACACCAACACACACACCAACACACACACACACCAACACACACACCAACACACACCAACACACACCAACACACACCAACACACACC